TCTTACTGTAGGGACCTATAACAGCAACTCTATCTGTTACAATTTCACTTGTGCAGTGTCCTTTTCTTTCCATCATCTTTTGGAAAAGTTCAAGTTCGCTATTGCCAAACTTCAAAGCTTGTACCAAGATTGGTAGCTGTTTGTGAACACAGACAGCAAATGCAATCTGTGTTTCAATATGCTGTGCTCCATGGAACAGGCATATTAACTATCCATTAATAAATCCATCAAAATAAAAACAAGATTAGCACCACAAATGCTCAAGTTCTTTTTTCTGTCACGGGTGCAGGAGTAAGTGGACGTTCAATGTCAAATAGCTATCACTATATAAAACTGGAGTGTTTATTATAAATTCCAAAAGCATCTGCTAACAGTGAAGAAGGTCTTGTGTAGAGATCTTTTTTTGTAGCAGCAAGAATAAACTAATAGAGAAAAAAGATGGTATTGGTCCTCTTGTAACAATCCACATAAGCATGTTAGGCTGTAGAAGAGTAGAAAATTTTTCAATTCAGCTGCTTTAAAATGGGCAACATCTGAGAGAAAGTTTTGGAAGGCTTGTAACAAAGCTTGGAGGTTTAATGGAGAGGATACATTGGTCCACTTATGACAGTTGGAAAAAATGCTGTAAATTTCATTTTTGTGAGTCTTTTCGTCAACAACATCATCACAAGACCAAGAAAGACACAATACATATAATCCACTGCCACACCATGGACAATGTCAAAGTTTGGGATAGATGAAAACTACACCAATCCTTCTTCTCAAGAACCACTGGGCCAGAAAATCTGAGATTTATGTGGAAGCCTTCAGAGGCAGTGTAGATTCTAAATTATTCAAAGCATGGCCCACAGCATAGGGTGGAGCCACAACAAGGAATCAAAGTTTTACATTGTATATATATGAAAAATATTTAAATATCTTCTTCTGAAGAACCATTGGGCCAGAAAAGCTGAAACATATGTGGAAGCTTCCTGAGGTAGTGTAGTTTATAAATTGTTCAAATCCTGGTCCCCAGGACTAAGGTTGGGTCACAATAGGAAATCAAAGTTTTACATTGAAATATATAAGAAAAATCTTTAAAGCCGCAAGAGGTAGTGTAGATGCTAAATTGTTCAAATTATGAACCCTGGGGAAGGGTGGGGCCACAATTAGTATTACTAGTGGAAAAATCTTGTGAAAAACAGCAGGGCCAAAGTTACTCAGGTGAGCATTGTGGCTTATGGGCCTCTTGTTTCTATTATTGTAAAGAAGTTCCTTTAGAAATAATAATGAATCACTGTAATAACTGCATGGTAAATCTAATGTAAACTCTTTGCAAATGGTTTCAGGAATATAGAGAAGTCTGGTTTGGAATACCCAAACCACATTCCAGCAAAACTTCTGTTGCTCCAAGTACACCTTAAATAAATGTTTTCACATATTACAATTTGAAACAAAATGTTGTGTCTAGTGATCACATATCACTTGAAGTTAGACCCTTTCAACTTCACATTGATTCACTTTCAATGTAAAAGAAATTGAATGAAAAATTATTTTCAGAAATTTAAAAGAATCAGGGCACACCCCAGCAGCAAAAATTCCATCAGAACCAGGGCAACGACAAGTAGCAACAATTCCATCAGAATCAGGGCATTTCAGAGCAGCAACAATTCCATCAGAATCAGGACACTTCATAGCAGCAATAATTCCTTCAGAACCTGGTCAACTCCCAGCAGCAACAATTTCATCAAAACAAGGGCAACTCCCAGCAACAACAACCCCATCAGACCAGAGTAATGCCCAGCAGCAACAATTCCATTAGAATCAGGGCATTTCAGAGCAGCAACTATTCCATCAAAATCAGGACACTCCACAGCAGAAAATACTCCATCAGAACCAGGGAAAACCACAGCAGCAATAATTCCATCAGAACCAGGCTTCCAGCAACAATAATTCCATCAGAATCAGGGCACTTCACAGCAGCAACAATTCTATCAAAACCAGTGAAATTCCACAGCAACAATTCCATCAGAACTAGTGCAACTATCAAAAGCAACAAATCTATAACAACCAGGGCACTCACCAGTAGCAAGAAATCCATCAGACCAGAGCAATGCCCAGCAGCAACAATTCCATCAGAATCAGAGCATTTCAGAGCAGCAACAATTCCATCAAAATCAGGACACACAGCAGTAAATATTCCAACAGAACCAGGGAAATCCACAGCAGCAATAATTTCACCAGAACCAGGCCAACTCCCAGCAACAACAAATTCCATCAGAATCAGGGCACTTCACAGCAGCAACTTATCAAAATCAGAGCACTTTACAGCAGCAACAATTCTATCAGAACCAGTGCCATTCCAGCAGCAACAAATCCATCAGAACCAGTGCAATTGCATCAGCAACAATACCATCAGAACCAGAAAACTTCACAGCAGCAACAATTCATTAGAACGAGTGCAACTCCCAGCAGTAAATATTCCATCAGAACCACAGCAAACCCATTGAGCCATAATTCCATCAGAACCAGAACTCCCAGCAACAACAATTCCATCAGAACAAGGGCAACTCCCGACAGCAACAACTCTATCAGAACCAGAGCAATGCACAGCAGCAATAATTCCATCGGAACAAGTGCAACTCCCAGCAGCAACTATTCCTTTAGAACCAGTGCAACTCCCAGCAGCAACAATTCCATCAGAACTAGTGCAGCTGCAGCAGCAATAATTCCATCAGAACCAGGCCAAAACCTAGCAACAACAATTTTATCAAAGCCTGTGCAAGACCAACAACCAAATACTCCATGAGAACCAGGGAAATGCACAGCAGCAATAATTTCATCAGAACCAGGCCAACTTCCAGCAACATCCTGTGAAAGACCCACAAGTAAATACTCTATCAGAACCAGGGCAATGCACAGCAGCAACAATTCCACTGGAACAAGTGCAACTCCCAGCAGCAACTATTCCTTTAGAACCAGTGCAACTCCCAGCAGCAACAATTCCATCAGAACTAGTGCAGCTGTAGCAGCAACAATTCCATCATAACCAGGCCAACTCCTAGCAACAACAATTCAATCAAAACCTGTGCAACACCCACAACCAAATACTCCCATCAGAACCAGGGAAATGCACAGCAGCAATAATTTCATCAGAACCAGGCCAACTTCCAGCAACATCCTGTGAAAGACCCACAAGCAACTACTCCATCAGAACCAGGGCATTCCACAGCAGCAATAATTCAATCATAAGCAGGCCAATTCCCAGCAACAACAATTTCATCACAACAAAGGCAATTCCCAGCAGAACAACCCAATCAGAATCAGGGCATTCCACAGCAGCAACAATTTCACTTGAACCAGTGCACTCCCCAGCAGCAAAAATTCCATCAGAACCAGGGCACTTTACAGCAGCAACAATTCCACCAGAATCAGGCCAACTCCCAGCAACAACAATTCCATCAAAACCTGTGCAAGACCCACTACTAAAGAGTCCATCTGAACCAGGGCACTCTACAGCAGCAATAATCCCTTCAGAACCAGGTCAGCTCCCAGCAGCAAAAATTTCATCAAAACAAGGGCAACTTCCAACAGCAACAACCCCATCAGAATCAGGGCACTCCACTAAAACAACAATTTCATCAGAACTAGTGCAACTCTCAAAAGCAACAATTCTATAACAACCAGGGCACTCCCCAGTAGCAAAAAATCCACCAGACCAACACCCTTCGTGGGGATAACTATTGCCCAATAAGTAATGTGATATGGGACTCCTTTCATGTCAATCACTTTTGTCCAATAAGTAATGTGATTAGGGACTCCTTTCATGACAATCACTATTGCCAAATAAGTAATGTGATACAAGACTCCCTTCAAAAGGATAACAATTGTCCAATAAGTAAGGTAATACAAGACTCCCTTCATGGGAATAACTATTGTCCAATAAGTAATGTGAAACAAAACTCCCTTCATGACAATCACCATTGTCCAATAAGTAATGTGATATGGGACTCCTTTCATGACAATCACTATTGTCCAATAAGAATTGTGATATGAGACTCCCTTCATGGGGATAACTATTGTCCAATAAGTAGTGATACAAGACTTCCATCATGGGGATAACTATTGTCAAATAAGTAATGTGAAACGAGATTGCCTTCATTGGGATAACTATTGTCCAATAAGTAATGTGACATGGGACTCCCTTCACAGGGATAACTATTGTCCAATAAGTAATGTGATATGGGACTCCTTTCTTGACAATCAATATTGTCCAATAAGTAATGCGATACGAGACTCCCTTCGTGGGGATAACTATTGTCCAATAAGTCATGTGAAACGAGACTCCCTTCTTGACAATCACTATAGTCCAATAAGTGACGTGATATGGGACTCCTTTCATGACAGTCACTATTGTCCAATAAGTAATGTGATACGAGATTCCCTTCATGGGAATAACTAATGCCCAATAAGTAATGTCATATGGGACTCCTTTCATGACAATCACTATTGTCCAATAAGTAATGTGAAACGAGATTCCCTTCACAGGGATAACTTTTGCCCAACAAGTAATGTGATATGGGACTTCATTATTGTCCAATAAGTAATGTGATACGAGATTCCCTTCATGGGGATAACTATTGTCCAATAAGTAATGTATTATGGGATTCCTTTCATGACAATTACTATTGTCCAATAAGTAATATTATATGGGACTCCTTTATGAGGATAACTATTGTCCATCTTGTAATAAGTACAAAGAGTTATATTTATTTAATTTTTTCTTTAACATTATTTAAATGCCAACACTTTATTTAATGAAATTAATTATTCCAACAATAGTCACTGTATATAATCTAAGTGTCTTTTTATCCCCTGGGGGGGGGGGGGGGTCATTACATGAACCTACACTACCCAAGGATGCTTACATATAAATAGGATAACCTTAGCTTTGCTCTTCCCTAGAAGATGATTTTTCATAAATATTTCTATATAAGAGTTTGACTGACCATTGTGGCTATTTTAATTTTTTAATCATTTTTCAGGATAATCAACAAACACTTCTATCAAAGTAAGGACACCGATATGTAACATTCATTATCAGATGAAATACATTGTATCTTGTTGTAATTCCTCAGCATCTACTCCTCATATATTTCTTCCACTTTCTCTATCAAATGAATTAAAACTGTAGGATCATATGGTAATATACTGGAATCCTTGTATTTCTCTATTTTCAATCTAACTTTGATTAACACGGACATTGTTTCTTCCAAACACTTGTTGATTTTTGGGGGGAAAACATCAAATTGAGGTTCAGTGGTATGATCAATCTCATTGTGGACACAAGGTTTTCCCATGCTTGTTTTAATATCCTCTTCATTGTCAGTTTCCTCTTCGTCATTATCACCATACTGATGTAGTAATGCTAATCCATGAGATATTGTCAGTTCTGGACCAGAATTTTTTACAGTATCATATTCTTTATCAAGAGATGTTAATGGATTTTCATCCTCGGAGAATAACTCTGCTTCTGAGTGTACGTTTTCCCCATTGTCGAGTCTGCTGTCCACTGAAGTATTTGCGGTGTACTCAAAATGTGTACTAACAAAGTCTGTCCATTCAGAAGAGACAAGCCGTAGGTACTTAGTAAAATAAGCAAGAAAGCAGGTTTCTGGTGAGATCAGAAGGTCCACGATTAGAGTGTCATCAAATCCAGTGTTGTCTAAAAACAGTAAAAATTGTTTGTGAGGTTGGATCATATTTAATACATCCTGAGTCCCAGTACAGGCTTCCTCTTCTTGTAATCTACAAAGAAAAATAAATCATGTTCGATCATGAAATCACATATGGTCAACATAGTGTTTTGATAGGAATGTGTGAACAGACATACAAAATGTAATGACATTTGGGGGTGGGTGGCCAATTTACTACATGTACAAATTTATACTGAATTTTGAAAAGGCTTTATTGCTTTACAGTCATTTCAATATGCAATAAAGATAAAGAGGGTTAATCCAAAAGTTCGTGAAATTTCTTTCTAAAATTTTATTGTGACATGATTAGAGCAAACAAAGGATATATCTATAAAATAGAGCTATTATTCAACAATACTGGAAACTTTCACCACATTCTATGTACCATTAAGGTCACACGAGCTTTCTTAACTTCGACATTTGCAAAATCCAGGGGAGACTTTGATGTAACGTCAAATCGAGTATTACGATCATTTTTCAAAATACGCTCTGTCTTCTATATGATTTTCCAATTTCAGTAGATCTAGCATGTCAACTTATATGTTGCTTGTGTTATATCATCAGATTGTGCCCTGACATATTTTTGCTTTGCAGAGAATTTGACAAATTCTCTGCAAAGCAGAAGTATGTCAGGGCACACAGTCTGATGATATGACAAAAGCAACATATAAGTTGACATGCTAGATCTATATGGATTATACACAATTCTGAATGGTTAAGAATATGATTATTGAAATTAATGAAATAAATTTATGTTAATTTGATATTAAAATTATTTGGATTCTATCTTTTTCTTTCACTTACCAGACTATAATGTCAGCAACTAGATCATGAAATTACATTCTGTGTAAAGAACAATATACAACAGTGAAGATACATATTTTTCAGAGAAATTTTGTTCTTTTTTCTTGAATAATCACCAAAATATTCAATTGGAAAGACAGATGAGTAACCGAATGCTGAAAGTTGATTGATGACCCTTGTGAAAAGTAAATTTGACTGTTGTATCATCAAGCCATCATTTGTATGCCTTCATCTCATCACTTGTACGTATCCAAAATGACTACTGAATCAGCTATTTCTCTTTTAGAAAAAACGGAATTTAGATTTTGGCTTGTTCACTCTTGTTCAAAAGTATTTTGTTTGACATACCTGGATTTCCTGTCAATGTATATCTCCAACAATGTCATTAAAATATTAATCCATGCATCATCTTGCTCTGAGTAAACAGCTGGAACCCAAAGAAAATGATAAAGTGATGTAGTTCTACCCACACAGGCATCTAGAGAAATTAAGACTCTGAAAGATGATGATAAATTACTGCTGCTGGAATCTATATCTGTAATACAGAAAACACATTATATATAATTATATTTTTAAACAGATCTAACTTGAATTATAAAGACTAATTTTTCACTCTTATTAAAAAAATGCACACACCTAGTCCAGGTACAACTGAAACAAGTTTTATGCAAATGTTTCCAACTATTCTACAAATTAAAAAGTTTTGTTGACTTTTTGAATTGATTGTTAATTCTCCTCCAAAGCCATCTTTAAAATCACTTGGAAATTCTTCAAACCATTCGGGACTGAAGCAGTCCACAAAACTTTTTGCAAGTTGAACACTTATGTCTTTTAAAACACCCTCTAATTCTGAAATCTTGGCAATATTTTTTACAACAACATTAATTAATTTCAACACAGCCCGAAATGTCATTTTACTTTCCAGAATCTTGGGTCTAACCACTGATACCAACTTCAAAACTGGTTTCAAAAAGTCAAAAATTTGTTCATGTTTGCTGTTAACACATCTTTTTAATATATTCGATCAGTGCATATTATCTATTCAAGATATATTACTAAAGTCAGGTACTCTTCACACAATTGCTCCGACGAAAATAGTTCCATTCATGATCAGTAGATACAAGATTACAACAAATGTTAAGAATAATGATGTATATTTAATACGTTAAAGAAAACAAAATTAACGTATAAAGATTTAAAGAAAATCATCTTTTCCCCGGAAAAGCAAATAAAAAGTTTTCATATTCCTACGCTCGCTGCCTCCTCAGTCTTTTTCCCGAAAATATATAGGTCATACTTCGATTGATAATGATAAATCTTTTCACCAGTTATATTACTGTCATTATTATTGTTCGTTCATTGCCTTATAATTTCTTTTGAATGGATATATGTTAATCATTAACTGTGTGTTTTTTTTCTCTCTTTTAATGAATAACGGAATGGTTATTATGGTTAAACACCTGCAATCGTAACCTCTCGGCAAAGCAAGGTAATGTTCCGAGCTCGTCTGAAAGGATCTTCGCACGTGTGTAGACCTAGGCTATTTGGTCTTGCAAGCACAGGTGTGTGCACCGTTTGCTAGAGACGCTTAGATCACGTAGACTGGGTATCAGTATTTGCTACGGAAATGAAGAAGTTTAGAACTATACACCAGTTTCATAAGAAGTGCAGGTTTTTTACTCAAGCCGTAAATTGGGCTAGAGGGGCTGAGTTATATAAAACGAGACTAGGTCATCGATCTACTCAGTTTAAAAACACGAAAATATACTAAGTTTATCTTCGAAACATCTGTATATTCAAAATCTATATTAAGTGTTAAATGTCGGATTCTATCCTATGACGAAGGAATATTCAGTGATGCTCCATAGCCGCAACCGATCTCGCGCTTTCCTTTGCGTTTAACAACGGCCGTCAATGCATCTCTGGACAAGTTCATTGATTACAAGTTCATTCGTTCTAAAAGGTGACATGTTGACCATCTTTAACATCTGCCTATACTATGGGTGATAGTAATTTAATAGCACAAAATTAAAAAATAAATTAAAATCTATCCTTGATAGATCTATAGTTTTGCTATTTAAAAAAATGGGCTATCTTTGATAATCCATAACGGCTTGAACTTGATTTGAATTTTTTTTTTTTTTTACAGAAGATTATATCATTGGAAAGTTAGATGGTACACATGTAGCACAGGCCCATATAGTACGCGGGATTTTTTTCGGAGCTCCCCCCCCTTCACTTTGAAAACGTTGCTACAGGCCTGTAACATGCTATTTGGTTTAAATATTCCTGAAAATGAACGAGGTGTTAAATACATTTTTAAAATTATACGATTAATTATATTTAGTCTATGTTCTATGTGAAATTAAAACTATTTTTAGCGACTTTGTGATAGTCACTACATGCATCTACATCTAACGTTATATATGAACATGCAGTTTGTTTCCTAGTACATGCATATTTTATTCAACAAAAGATGTTGAAACTCAGTAGCCTAAATATTTTGTCGTTTTAGGATATTTATGGCACTTTTATTATGACTTTCTACAGCTTGAGTATCTCTGACGTTTTGTCAGTAAATACTTGTTTTTTTTATTAGAAATCATCTGAGCACAATGAAAATTCGAATAAATTAAAAGTCGAATATCTTGGATATGGGGTAACCCATATCTATTCTTGTTATAATTCTCTTCCATAAGCGGAGAAATTGACAGTGCATGACAACCTTTTCAGATGTTTGTTTGATGAGTGAAGAAGATTTACATTCATCAAGACAATCAAAAAGACACAGTTCACATAAGTACATCCATCGCTGCCCTACCACTGTCACAGCCACATAGCAGTTCTTTCTGCTCTCAGACTGTGATAGATGATGCCACAATAAGTCAAGAATGCTCACTCTCCATCCATACTCCATTGTTGACATTGAAGAGACCATGTCATTGAACACGTGAGTGAAATTTATATTATCAAAGTGATCATTTAAGATGTCTCCCATAGCTATTGCTGCTGAATAACGCACAAAAGTATCTTCATCTAAGAGTGCTTCTCTCTGTAAAAAATGTAAATTAAAAAGAGAGAAAATATGATCACTGTCTGGGTGGATTGGAAATATATAGTTCTATGAAATATATTTTAAAAAATCAACTAGTTATTTATTTTGATCAAGGAATAATATCTGTAACAATATACATGTACATGTATAATATGTTAGGAGGAATATTAACAGGGACCAATATTCGTATATATATGTCCCTGATACTACATGTAAGATCTCACCATAATATGCACAATAGGTCCTAGGCTTTCAGTTGATGGTTTAGTCAGTTTACTTGCACTGTTAATACATTTCAGTTTATCTTCCTGGTTCACCTGGTAGTTTTTCAACTTTAACCAATACTTGACTATCTCGGAAACTTCAAGCTCTGAACATGGCACAACTGTGGATGACGCCGGTTGCAACGACTCCATCGAGGTATATTTACTTATAGAAACAGACTATGAGACCGTGGTCTCATCTAACTCAAAACGAGGCTATTGCTCACCGGAATGGGTTCTCTCATCTATTTTCCCCTAATCATATCCGGTTATAATGTAAGCCTAACGTTTCCGTGCAAAATTATGAAATTATTTTACTTGTATCAAGCCTTAAATTTAGACCTTAAATATAGACTTTAGTTCTGTCTTTAGGGCCATGGAGCAGTGAGGGTTCTGAAGCATTGTTAACAGATTTTAAAATGCAGAAGGCAGGTATGATTAAAATTGACTAAAAAATATATAACCATATTTCCAGGGACCTACTAGTATATAGGTCCCTGATATTAATTATTTCATTATTAAAAAGAAAATGTCCAGTTTACAAATGAGGAAAATATGACAACACACTTTGACACCTATGAACAGACAAACACACATGGTCTTAATTGTGTTTACAACACTGTAGCAAGAGACCATTGACATAAAACAGTCTTAAACGTGGATGGTCTCATGTTTACAAACTGTAGCATGAGACCATTGACATATAACAGTCACAAACATGCATGGTCTCATGTTTACAAACTGTAGCATGAGACCATTGACATAAAACACTCTTAAACGTGGATGGTCTCATGTTTACAAACTGTAGCATGAGTCCATTGACATATAACAGTCACAAACATGCATGGTCTCAAGTTTACAATACTGTAGCATGAGACCATTGACATATAACAGTCACAAACACACATGGTCTCATGTTTACAATACTGTAGCATGAGACCATAGACATATAACAGTCACAAACACACATGGTCTCATGTTTACAAAATGTAGCATGAGACCATTGACATATAACAGTCACAAACACACATGGTCTCATGTTTACAAACTGTAGCATGAGACCATTGACATATAACACAAACATGCATGGTCTCATGTTTACAAACTGTAGCATGAGACCATTGACATAAAACAATCTTAAACATGCATGGTCTCATGTTTACAAACTGTAGCATGAGACCATTGACATATAACAGTCACAAACACAAATGGTCTTATGTTTACAAACTGTAGCATGAGATCATAGTCATAAAACAGTCATAAACACACATGGTCTCATGTTTACAAACTGTAGCATGAGACCATTGACATATAACAGTCACAAACATGCATGGTCTCATGTATACAAACTGTAGCATGAGACCATAGACATAAAACAGTCTTAAACATGCATGGTCTCATGTTTACAAACTGTAGCATGAGACCATAAACATAAAACAGTCACAAACACACATGGTCTCATGTTTACAAACTGTAGCATGAGACCATTGATATATAACTGTCACAAAAACACATGGCCTCATGTTTCCAAACTGTAGCATGAGACCATTGACATATAATAGTCACAAACCCACATGGTCTCATGTTTACAATACTGTAGCATGAGACCATTGACATATAACAGTCACAAACACACATGGTCACATGTATACAAACTGTAGCATGAGACCATTGACATATAACAGTCACAAACACACATGGTCTCATATTTATAATACTGTAGCATGAGACCATTGACATATAACAGTCACAAACACACATGGTCTCATGTTTACAAACTGTAGCATGAGACCATTGACATAAAACAGTCACAAACACACATGGTCTCATGTTTACAAACTGTAGCATGAGACCATTGACATATAACAGTCACAAACATGCATGGTCTCATGTTTACAAACTGTAGCATGAGACCATTGACATATAACAGTCACAAACACTCATAGTCTCATGTTTACAAACTGTAGCATTAGACCATTGACATATAACAGTCACAAACACACATGGTCTCATGTTTACAATACTGTAGCATGAGACCATAAACATAAAACAGTCACAAACACACATGGTCTCATGTTTACAAACTGTAGCATGAGACCATTGATATATAACTGTCACAAAAACACATGGTCTCATGTTTTCAAACTGTAACATGAGACCATTGACATATAATAGTCACAAACACACATGGTCTCATGTTTACAATACTGTAGCATGAGACCATTGACATATAACAGTCACAAACACACATGGACACATGTATACAAACTGTAGCATGAGACCATTGACATATAACAGTCACAAACACACATGGTCTCATATTTATAATACTGTAGCATGAGACCATTGACATATAACAGTCACAAACACACATGGTCTCATGTTTACAAACTGTAGCATGAGACCATAGACATAAAACACTCTTAAACATGCATGGTCTCATGTTTACAATACTGTAGCATGAGACCATTGACATATTACAGCAACAAACACACATGGTCCCGTGTTAGTGGTTAAAGTATAATCCTCATTAATTAAATATCACAGGTCGTAGATTAGCAAATACCATATAGCAGGATTTTTTAGCGGTGTGCTAACTTTGGCTTATTTTAGCAGATTTGTAGTAGCTTGCTAAAATTTGAATTGCTAAATTTGCACCCTTGCTTATAACTACTGAACACAAGAAAAATAACTTTGATCATCCTGTTGGTAAACGTTATATATATCATTTGGTATTGGTTTTTACTCCAACTCTTGCTTAAATAGGTAATCAAACGTATATTTAATGTACTGAAATTCATCTAAGATGTGAATTTCCTCTCTTTTGCAGAGTCATTGAACTATGTGTCCGCCAAAATTATTGGCATACCTTTTAGAAAGCAAAATGCCAAATTTTACACCCGCTATATGGTATTTTGCAGGCTTTGCTTACACAGTTGATAAGGGAATTTTAATTAAAGTGTTTTTTTTTCAAGGGAAATTAAGGAACAACGTGTAAGTTGATAATTGTTTCTAGGGAGCTTTTAAATAATTTTACATGCAGATCAGTGATCAGTGATCAAAAGCAGTAAAGGGGTACAATTAGAGCCCATAGGAATTCCAGTAAGTTGTTCAAAGATTTTGTCTCTAAAGACTTCATAGATATCATCAAAAAGAAACTTGGACATCCTCTTAATATCAAGCTCAGAGAACATTTTCCAAATATTGCATAACCATTTGAATGGAATTACTCTAAAAATTTTGTAGCTGTCATGAATGTCAATTGGACATTTTTCAGTCAGTTAAATTTTTAAAGTAAAGATACATGTAGCATCCATTAACCTTTGCATTATGTTAGATAAACATGATAATTGTTTAAGTAATAAGACATTCAAAAAATAGGTAAATGCAAGAAATATTCAGTGTTAATTAATTGAAATGTTTTTATTTTTTTCTTTAGAAAATTCCTTGAAGTTAGCATTGCCAGTCTTGCGCTCTCACAGAACAACTGGTCTGTAAACAGTGTACCCATGTTAAACAGCCAGACAACAGTTCCTGAAGGGCCACACTCTCTTCCAAGGTGAGATACTAAGAAATAATGAGAATTAAAACTTAGGTGAAAGCCATATTACATAGTGTAGATTAAAGTTTGTTTTACATGTAGTAATGCATAAGAAAATTCTTTAAAAATCTTCTTCTCTAGTGGACTTTTGCAAAAAGCACTGACTTTTACAATCGACAGATTACTTTTACAGCAGGAAAATATACGGAAGCTCTCTTGTGATATAAATATTTAGCTTAACAGTTACTAAAATGATAATAATGGGCCATTTCAAAGCCCGTATTACATTGTCTAGGAAGAGAGGAGCAACAATCCTACCCTGAACCCCTCCCTTCCCAACTAGATCAACTCCTGCCAAGTTTTCCCTCCAGAATGTTTTTTATTATTTATTTAATTCCTTTAGAAAATAAAAAGGAGATACTATCTCTCATGAACAAGGTATTTTAAGTCATTTTATTCTACCTCCAATCATCTCTTGTATTGGTAAATAATGTTAGTGCCCATAATACCATAACTATAACCACTATTAATGTTTTCTTCTCTATTATCAATTCCGTACCTCCGTACATAAGGCAGGTTTAAATGTCAAAGTAAGCTGTCAAATGTAAAAGTCAGTACTTCTTGCAAAAGTCCCGTATTCATATTCATATGGTAGCATCCTCAGGTATTGTACATTCAAGTTTGTTCAAATCATACCTCCAGGGATAGGGTGGGGCCTTAATATGTGATCAAAGTTTTACATAGGAATATATAGGGGGAAAATTCTGCTGATGAAGAACAGCAGGGCCATGTTGACTCAGGTTAGTGTTGTGGCCCATATGCTTCTTGTTGTACATGCATTTAAAATCTATTTATCAACAGTCAACCAGCGAATTTATATTTTTGTGCTTTGATGTCCACAATTCATTTTGTGATAGGTACTCACATAAAATAAGGGATTTAGAGTATACTTATAATGAAAATGTTATGGTAAATAGCATCTTAGTCAGTCATTAAGACTGTTTTTTCCATGATGGAGACAAATCAAAACTTTCATTAACAATAAAACAGCAATACTATATATAGAAATTCATTTTCAATTCGACCCATTCACACAATTTATTATAAAAGTTTGCAGAGAGGATTTTGCATGGAAGAGATCTTTTGTTGGAAAGCAACTATGCAGTTTATGCTACCTTTAGGCTGAAAGTCCAGTTGTGGCATCTATTACAAAAAATCAAGGTAAGTATATATTCTAAATTTTTAGGACCATGTATGACACATCCTTATCAAACATACTATTTAAAAAAAGGTGAGATCTTTATTTAGGAAATTTCAATTCAAACAGGTATCTTTGCTGGAAGAAAGTTTAATCACCAACCTGGAAGTATATATTTATTTGTAAATGATAAGTAAAACAATTTTAAAACCAATTTATCGACAACGTTTTACTTGAAAAGAACAATATCTTTAAGTTTACATCATTTTCATGGACAAATCAAGAAAAATTCTACCTAATGTTAGAATTGCCCTAAAGGCAATGTCACCTTAAGTCTTCTGTTTTAATCTACTTTAGGGCCTCTTTGCTTGTTCTTGCCTAATATATGTAAAAAAAAGTATTTATATTTTTCTATTAACTTTATTTACTCAGATCTTGCATCTTTAATTGGACTGCCACATATGTCAAGAGTCCCAACATCCCAGAGAGTACCTGGTATATATATTATACATATTTTCTTTTTTACAATAATTCTTCAAAAAACAACCCAAAAAAAATATAACATTAAATCTTTCAATCTTTATTGAAATAACTAAAAGCAATTTGTAGCCTCCTAAAAGTATCGATATTGTATGTTTATTCCATTTTATTTCGATCATATCCCACTGTCATGTTTTGGGGCTTTGTATACCTGTAAATGGATACATTTGTATGTATATATTTATTGTGTTTTTATTTCAGATGGGTTATAAAGGATGTGATGTGTTTTGATACCACTTCCTCTGTTAAAAGACACAAATGAACATTTCCTGATGTTTTGAGGAATTTTCAACAAGGAGGTGGTCTTGTTTATATGTCTTACAGAGTATCCTATGTCTTTAAATGGAAATTATGCATGTTAACTGTTCATATGTGTTTGTACTCAATTACATGGTTTTGTCCAGACATTTTACTGTAAAATCATATTTTTCGTAGTTTAAGGAAAACATGTTGGATTGTTAGCATTTGATTTCTTAATTAAATTAGTGCTGAGTAGTTATAATTAGAAGTTTTTCTTTTCATGGATGACATGAATTTGTGGTTCTCTCCATACCTTGAACAATGATAATTAAGCCCTAGTGAAAATTAGTTATTTCAAAACATGAGACTTAAACTAATGGATTTCTCTGAAAATTTTTACACTTTTATCCACCATATCAAGATGTGCATTATATAATAGCATATTGATTGTACAATTTTGGTTTCATTTTACAGGTGTTTTTTTTTTCAACTTTATAGACATTTTTTGGTCATAGTCCACAATATATTTTAAAAACTGTGGAATATATATTGAATTCACAACTATGTAAACATTGTGCTTTCTCTGAAGGTTTGCATCTGACATTTTAAAATAAATTTCTCGAAGTTAAAGGAAGATATAAAGAATGTTAATATCAGAGGAAGGACTTATTTTGTCATTGTGACTGGGGTCTTATAGACAGACAACATGAAGACATTTGCAGGTTCAATAGGTTGTTTAATTTCCCAGCTGTAATTTGTAATAAATATAGAACATGGATAAATTGGGAAAATGATCACCCAGTAAATATTCATATAAATAAAATTAGTACAGTATAATAAAAACGGGATGACAATTCTTGAAGCGTACAATATACTTGTGTAAAAATCACAATACATTCTATGCATATTATGAAAGAGTTATTCCCCTTTTCACAGTGATCATTTATACTTGTATGATTATATATTCTCTTGAAACATATATTGAATTGTTTTACATTATTTAATTGTAAGTCCAATTATTAATTCATTTATATATATATATATATATATATATATATATATATATATATATATATATATATATATATATATATATATATATATATATATATATATATATATATATATGATAAGTTCATTTTTTCAAAATATAAAATGTGCCTGTTTATGGAACAGAGTTCCTGGCACTTAATCATTTTATATAGTGTAATAAAACAAAAACATTAACTTTCAACTCTTGCACACATGTTTTCATTGTTTTTTTCTTTTCAGATAAATCAGACATCTGAAATATATTTTGTGAATATGAAGTAAATAAGATGCTTTTAGATTAGAAGCTGGTATCCAGTTCACAGTGAAAGTTATAATTTATATTTAATAATCATATCTTCACAGTCTGAAATCAAGCTGAATTATGTCAGATGCAAGAAAATGATGAATATTTTCATTTCTTTGACAAGAGAAATTCTTTTTTTTTTTTCCTGTGGAGGTATTAGTCTCATGAGTTGAATATCCATAAGGGTATAATGCTATGAACAAAGAATGAAACTTTATGTAATTTTGTATCATATTATGCATAATATAAATGCTAAAATTATGTTACTTCTTATTTCTATCAATACAGTGTGTGCTATGTCATATGAGATATGTCAGTCTTTGAACTAACTAGAAAAATATACTGTATATGTAAATGATAATTATTTTCATATATATTGGTTAAATATGATATGTTGAACATCTATGAAATCATATACATTTGTATATTAAATACTGTGTTTTAACATGTTATTTTTTATAGTGCTTTTTCACGTAATATGGTGTACTGATGTAAATACTGATGGACCAAATCTCAGGAACATGCTTCATATATGTATGGTGTCTATTTTTATATTCTTGTAATCGGATATCTTTTCACATTCTGGAAACTTTTTAAGGAAGCTCTAAACACTAACAAAAAGTTCTTTTTGGACTTGGAGAAAATTATGTCATATAAAGGTGTGCATATTGAGACTGATTAGTTCATTTTTAACATAGGGTATCTGCCTTATATCCGCAGGAAAAATGTTCAAAGAAAATGGATTATTTTTGAACACAAATCACTGTTGTTTACTGTTGGGAAAATTAATGTAAATAATGAATTCAATTACTTATTCTTGGTCTAGTATATGCTAAGAATATTTTAATCTATTACAAATTGTGTAATTAACTGTAAACAACTATTTTATTTATCTTACTTCTAAGGGTAGATCACTCTAACTGCATAAAACTACCCTTCTAGTAGAACTCTCTTGTGTGCAGTGTTTAGAGCTTCCTTAAAAGAGATGGACAATTGTGTATCAGACATAGCAGATGCAGTTTGATTATTTAAACAATAAAATGCTTTCTTTGGTTGGTACGGGAATTAATGTTGCAGCTGTTGCAGAAAAAATGCATAACCCGCATAATCGGGTTATGTATTTTTTTTTTTCTGCAATAGCTGCAATGTTAATTCCCGTACTAACAAACAAAGAAAGACATTTTATTGTTTATATTTATATCTGTACAAATAATCATTTAAAGTAGGATTTAGTAGATGAAATATTGTATTATTGATATATATCTCATTGTATGTTGATGGAACAGCCACTGCTCAAGAAATCTGTAGAGGTGATATGCTAAGCGGTGTTTACTGACTGATAAAAGGCAATGGTTTTCTTAATATATCACTATTTACTGATATCACTATTTATATACTTATTTTTTATGAATGATTTCAGAGTCTCTGTATTTGACAGTTCAAAATTTTTATATTAAAATCAAAAAACATTTTTTTTTTCTTTTACAAAAATTTAAATGTTATACACATGTACTTTAAAGCACTTGTCATGAACTGGAAAATTAATGATTTATTGCAACAGAAATGATATTAAAAAAAGTCTTGATATATAAAATAAATTAATGAAAAGAAATTCTCCTTGTTTTATTCCAGCAATGTGTTCCTGAATTGAACTTAGAAATTTTGTCATGTTGAACATAAATGGTACCCATGATATTCCATTCCCCATTGAAATATAGCCCCTTTATATAGTGCTTTGATTTTGTTGTTCAGGGATTAAAGTTTATTAAAGAGTTCACCTTTGACCTTTATTTAAGTAACCTTGACCTTCTGAGTTGTTCCAGGTCATGGGAGATGCCATCACAAAGATTAATATGTGTGATGGGGTTTGAAAAAAATAAACAGGAAATTTCAATAAAATGCAACAACTACATTAACCTTTTTTGGATATAACCAACGAAAATTTTAAATACATTAATTTCAAAGAATTGAAAATTTGTATAGTATATTGAAGATCTTACTAATTTCATTATTGCACTCGAATTATTTCTCTCGATTATTCAAGCATACACCGAACCATAATATTGGTTTTTACAACAATATTGCCAAAAAATTAATGTAGCTACTTATAAGGGATGTAATACCAATATTTTCGTACACTTTTTCTGTATTGTTACGTTTTTCGAAATTTAAGGCAATCTCGGAGAGCAAAATGGTTTTTTTTCTTGTTCTTTAAATTTTATTTTATACAGATTAATATATCTTCATCAAGGAAAACAAAATTAACAATATCAAAGTACATGTACGTGTATTCTATAAATTTTTAACGATTGACAATTAAAAACATCAGTATATATGTCAATTTCATCTTTTTTTCCTTGGTCATTTAGTTCAATTATCTACTGTTCTGTTGAATCAGACAAAATTACAAATACTCAGAATAAGTACATGTTCATGTATACCTTTGGTAGAATGATTATACCCGCATAAGGAACTATTGAACATATTGTTCAATAGTTCCTAATGAACCATTGTTCATACGCAATATAGTATAGTAGTTCTAATAGCCAAATATACTCCATGAAATGATATTTTATTACAGAAAGCTTTTAACTGGAACTGGAACCATTTCAACACTAAAGTGATAATATACTGGGACTTGGAATTGGAACACGTTAACCCCCACCCCACCCCATCCCTCCCCCGAAAATAGATTCTTATAAATTTTCTACAATAGGAGGGTTGCGTGTTACTCACTATATATGAATTTATTTGGGTAAAGATGGGAAAAAAATCACAGGTGAAGCCCTGAGCCATTTAGAAAATGTTTACCATAAATAGAGAAACTCTGCTGATATGTGATTCAAAATTAATATAAAATCAAATAAATGAAAATATCTTTAATTTTGAAGAAATCAATTCATATGACGAGCGCAATAGGTCAATTGAAGATCTTTTTAATGTCTAGTATTTTGGCATTTTGTTTGGTTTTTTTTTTCTTTTCTTTTCAGAAATGTGCGATATAATTTCTAAAATGCCCCAAAATAATTAAATTAATTTCAAAATACAATGAAGCCATTCACATGCTAGAAGAAATTAGCAACGATAATAATGATATCTGAAAATATCTTGCATACTATGACATTCAAGGTCTAGTAGCTATATGGCTTTTCCAGTGACAATTCACCAGTTACTAATGCCATTATTATTCTTTATTTCCTGACTACATAGTGTTATCACAATTATAGATTTTCAAATAGAGAAAATGGTATGGTATTACATATCTTAAATATACATGAAAAATCAACACAAATATAATAAACAGATAGGACAGCAAGGACACACCTCTTGGTTAAAAGCTAATTCCCCCCCCCCCCCCCTTTTACAAATTTAAGTACAGTTTTGGACAATTAATAGGTGTACACATTTATTTTTTAATAATACTTTTTAAGATATTAACTGTCAAGGCTCTGTATGGGCTGCTTATCAAACAAAATGTAATTCACCCTACAAATTTACCATCGTAGATTTTTTTTTTTTTTTTACAATACGTCCACTTTCAATGCAAGATTATACGTGAAGACATTCTTATCTTGTTTGTTTGTTTTTAATTTGATACATACGTAAAAGAGAAGATACATGTTTTGATTTTGTCAATTTCTGTACTATGTGTTTGTGTTTTCTTAAAGCTTCTGCTTGTTATTTTTCAAATAAAATATGATTTAAACAAATTTATTTGTAAAAAATACATTTTGCTGAACAGTTAATTTCAGCCGAAAGAATTTGCAATCGTACTATTTTGTCTTTTCAAGTCAAATAAATCCAAGTCCGTGTTCAAAAAAGGTTTTCTTTGATATTTACAACAATCATAGCGCTTACTAGAATATTATTGATACCAGCTAATGGCTTTCTTGGCCGGCTTTTATCTGAACGTTGAATTTTCAAAATAACAAATTTTATGACCAGAATGTTTTTAGACCAGCTAAAAAAAAAAAAATTAATTTATATACACAAAATTTGTGATATTTGCATTAATACACATGTCCATGAGTTGAATATGGAAAATTAACTTGAATAAAAAGAGTGCTTAACAATAAAGATATTCA